AATTTTCCTCCCCCTGCCACAGTCACTGATGTGGGTTTTGCTTGCTGCATCTTAAAGTTGATAGACTGAGCCATTTGTTCGTCTATGAAACTGTAAGTGTTCCCACTATCAATTAATATAGACACCTTCCTTCCTTTAGTCATCCTAGGAGGTCTTATTGTCTTCACCACAGGGTTGCCTAATAATGCATAGATGGATATCTGCATCATTTCACCATCTCCTTACCTATTTGTTCTTTTACTTCATCCAGTGGTTCCACTATCTCCCTGTCACCTTCATCATCTACTAGTATAAAATGGGGCATCTTATTCTTGCATACGTGCCATTTAGTATACTCTTAATCACATTTGTAACACAATCCCAGCTCCTTTTTAGTATGAAAATCTATAGGGATCACAGCTTTAAATTTAAGAGGGCTGTTGGAGTTTTTGGAAATAGGTTCAGAATGGCTTATATGTTTATTAGTAACTTTATTTGGCTTTGGGTTAGGATTTGGATTGGTGCATTTAGAGTAGGGGTGTGGTTTGAAGGTATTGGATCCTTTGTTTAAGGCCGTTATGATATTCTCTTGAAAGAGGTCAATCTCAAAGGCTTTGACAAGGGTGGGGGGTTGAATCATTTTCACCATAGGTTTGATCTCATCGTTCAGACCATTGGTGAAAATCGACATGTAATACGACTCGATAAGTAGGGCAAGGATGCCATTACCTAGTATTTCAGCTCCTCAAATTGTTCTTGATACTTCATGACAGACCCCTTCTGCCTTAATTTACTAAAGATTTCATCTACTTTTTCAGCTGTATTGTCAGCAAATCGCCTCTGCAAACGCATCCCAATTAGCAGTTGGGTAGCTGGGGATAAAACCATGAAACCAAATGTTAGCCTTTCCTTTTAGATGTATCTCTGAGATTCACATTTTCAACTCATCCGCAACCTGATGAATTTGAAAATACTCATTTTCCTTCCTCAACCATTCTCGTGGCCTTTTTCCACTAAAATAAGGGAAATTTGTCTTTGGTAATTTGATAGCCATCCTCATCTTCTTACTTCTACTGGAATTACCAGAGTGGATTTCATTTCCCTTAAGACTGAGCTAACATCAGCCTTATTACCAACCTATTTTTCTTTGTAATCAGCCTTATTACCAACCAACTGAGCTAACATCAGCACCATCGATTCTTGATTAGGTTTCATTTTTCCAATCATCTGCTCCATCCGATCTTGACTAGCACAAATGACCTGCAGCATTTGGTCATTGGTTTTAAAAACCACTACCAAATTCGCTATTTTCTTATCTAACCTCTTAAGGTGTTCTTCGTTCGATTTTCTGCCATTCCCAGATCCGTTGATGCACTTGTACCAATGTGTAATGGTTGAACTGAAATTCTCATCCAAATTTCCTAAAATCCAACAACACGATCAATTTCCAATTGAGATTCTCCATCACCAAGACTTCAATTAAAATTCAAATGCAATTACAGGAAATAAGAACAAAATAAACGAAAAAATAGAAATAAGGAGAGAGAGTTCAGAGATAAGATCCTTGAAAATGATTATTCACACTATTTTCCCTTTTTCACCTGCCGTTATAACAGAAGGAAATTGGATTTTTGGAAACATGTTTTTATAAAATGCATTGACTTATTACAATTAAAACTCCATGTAAAACGATGCCGGACAAATTTGAATTTCAGTTAGCCGTTGAAGTTCCTTCTTCATTCATTTTCCTTGACCTGGCGCTTATCTGTCCTTTCCTTCCCCAATTCAACTGATCTTCTCCCTTTGTGCCTCCATCATAACATTGACGTGAAACGTAAAAATTCATTTAGGGCAATGTAGAAACAATGAAAAAAATAAACTTATTTTCTTGCACAATAATCTTTTTAGTAAAAGTAAATCAATGTAGTATAAGAAGCAACAAAACTATAGTCTATAATATGACACGTGTTAAGAATATTTAGGCCCCGTTTGATACACATTTTTTTTAAAATGCATTTTTCTCTCACTTCTTTTCAACCACACATTTTTCATTAAAATAATATTACACATAAATAAAAAAAATTTCCTTTTTTCCAACCACATATTTCCCATCAATTTACTATTCCAAAATGCATTTTTACATAAAAATGGCTCCCAAACACCCTCTTTGACGTCTATCACCATTTCAGAGTTTATTCTCATATTATTTTGAATTATTATTGCAAAAGAAAAAATATTATCTAATAAACAATTTATAAGAAACTTCATAATAAATACATAGGAAAAAAAATAGAAGCATGTCTTGGTGGTACATTAATGGACTAGTCGACTACAAGATCAATATTTCATTAAATTTGTAGTAGTTGAGAATGAAACAAAAAGGGAAAAGACTCAACTTTAACAGAAAAAGGAATGAGGTTCTATTGAAATGATATCTATTGTAATATCAATATATTGAGTGTGAGTATACCTTCTTATAATATATGTGGATACAACTTATGTCGATTATGCGAAATTAGAAAATTAATTACTTATGTAAAACGTTAAGTGAATCACAAAAAACACAAAGTTCCTATTGACAAGGAACATAACATGTGATGATGTAATATGATTACCTCAACAATTGACCATGCAATAACCTTTCAACTACTTACTATATAATCCATGAACTTGGTATACTCTTGGTCAAGTTGACAAGGGCCTACAACAGAGAGATGCAAATGCTAGATTTTAATGGTGAAACGTTGCAAGTTAAACTTGCCGATTAAAAAGTAAGAAATAATTAAGAAAATGAAAAAGCATTCACTTGGTCATAAACTTTATTGGATACTATTTACACTAGAAGTCAACATAACACACTCCACGAGAGAATTGTATAAATACAAGTGTGTCGAGCGTGTTTTGTATTTATATCAACCTTCCTCTGACAGTCTAATTTTTCAACAGTTTTTCATTGTTTTCTTTTTCCATATTTATTTCCATCGATCACTCTTAGGATTGTCATTTTCATTGTCTAAACATTTGTTTTTGGAGTTTGGAAGCTTCATTGAATCACTTCAATGGCTTGCACGCCACCAGAAGTCCATGTTTTGCTAGTTGAACATGACGCTAATCATATTATTCCAACAAAGAAAATGTTGGAATTCTTTTCATATAAAGGTAAATATATCAAAGATTAAATTTTCATTTTAATTTAAGTTTAAATTATTACAAGTATAGATATGACAGAAGAACATTCACCATTTAATTTCTTCTTGAAATTGAATTATAAAATCTTGCATTATGTTTTGCTTCTATAGTCAGATTTTGTTTAATTTCATGATCGACATGTGATTTTGGGAAGAATAAGTCGAAATAGGTCGAGTGCTTTAATCAATTACGATTAATATTATATCAAAAGTAAATCTTCATTTCATGCTGAATGCCAAAGCTTACCTTTTGGAAGTAGTAGAGAAATAGGTAATACATTTAGAATTCACTATATGCAATCATTTAAAAAATCATATTTTCTTTAGGGCTATTAAAGGATTCATTTTTCGCGTAAACTCAAAATTACATAAAAAATTGGTTAGAAGAAAATGTTTCTTGGACGTCTCACAAGGATTATATACATATGCTTATGTAAAAATAAAAATTATTTTCAAAAAGAAATAAAATAATAGATCAATATATTTCTTACATTGTGATAATATTAGTTTTTTTTTTTTTATCTGATAATTTCCCAAATTACAAATTTCGTTTCCTATTCATTATTCTCTGGCATCTCGTACATATATTTCAATGCAAGATAATTAAATAAAAAAATAAGATTTTTATTTTCTATCAGTAGTTCATTTTTGATATGGCTTCAAGGAGAAATAACATCTTAACATACAATTCAGTATTATAAATGCCTCATTTTTATTTATTATTATTATTATTATTATTATTATTATTTTTTTTTTTTTTTCTTTTGGAAAAGAACTTGCTTATCTTTTGCATTTCGCTAATAATCAGAGTTCATGATTGTGATTCTTACTTCTCCATTAAGAAAATAAAGATTTTTTGCTATATATTTTATAGATACATGTACATAGTCATATTGGTCTTATTTATGTGGCTAATCTATACATACATTGTTGAAAATATGGAGCCTAAGTTATAGGCTTCACAAATTTCTCATGTGTCAGGCAAAAATTTCCAAATAGTGGCAGACACATATGGCAGCAAATGTTGAAGACTTTGCATGCATGGTAAGCAATTGTTGACAAAGCAATGTGGATGGAAAAGGTTTCAAACCATGCAGCTGCCACCGAAATTTTTTTGGAAGAAATTCTTTGCCTTGCAAACCAACTTTGTGGAAAATGTTGGATTTGCATTAATGAGGAAGGTGAAAAATTTCCTATAAATTGGAGGCCAAAGCAAAGGAAGAAATGTGCCAAAAGTGAGAGCAAAAACAAGTGCAAAAGTGTTGAGTGAAAATACGAGAGATAGTGAGCAAGCACAAAGTGAGAAGCAGTTAGGCTTTCGTTTGTGCAGAAAATTAACGAGAGAAAAATAGAGAGATTGTCTTTGCGTAGGCAAATGAAATACAGAGAGTGTATTTGTTGTACTCCTTTTACTCTCTTGTTGATATAGTAAAAGAATTGGTGTGGGTTTGTGGACGTAGGCACAATTGCCGAACCACGTAAATTCTTGTGTCACTTGCACTTATTATTTTTGCTACATTTATTTCTTCTCAGTTTAAATTATTCTGCGTCCCACTGATCCTGGCGAAATTAGTAGCAGTCTAATTTCCCAACAACTGGTATCAGAGCTCCAGAATTTAAGCGGGAGGAATGGCAACAGACGAGAAGATATCCAAAATCGATAAGTTTGATGGTACAAACTTTGGATTTTGGAAGATGCAAATGG